TTAGCTAGAATCAATCCGTTAATCTAATTGAACTTGGGAACTTATCTGCTTGAGTTAGTTATTTCTTTCTTCCTTGTTTTATTTATTTCCTTTCTTTTTCATTTCTGTTTTGTGTAGGGAAACTAAATTGGATCATTCAATCACCAATCCCTGTGGAATCGACCTCGCACTTACATATGCTATACTACCAACGGTTCGTGCACTTGCGAGTATCACAAGTTGAGGATGCAGCTGAATCCATTTTGGTGCAGCTGAAATCTACACAACAGGGCGCAACCTTGGCTCTCTGTTCGATGACTTCAACTTCAGCATCCTCACTTTCGGCACTATCAAGATCCAATGCCTCACTATCGGTATCCCATTGATCGTCCAATGATTCCCCATCGAACGTGTTGGGTTCACTATCAAACGGTGACTTGCTATCGAACATCTACAAACAGAAGTGAAAGGGAAACTAAATTCCATGCAAAGATCAAACTATGGAGTCTTATGGCTATCACTACCTACAACAACTGACTACCGAACGCTCATCATGAGCATAAGTGTTCATAGTCTAGTTCAGGCCAAAAAGGTGCATTTAATCGAAAAAAGGAGGCGAAAAAGCAACGTACCATGTTTTTCTCGACGGAATAAGTCACCGTAAATCGCTCCGCCGTATGATTAGTAGCTGAAAATGGCCTAATTGTCGAAGAATGCTTGCTAGAAATCGCCTCTTCACAAGTTCAAAAAGGCCAACCGAGGCCATCATTACTTCGTTCAGCACTCATGCCCTCAACACATGGCACCAATAATGCTTGGTAGCGACCTCCATGTTACGCACAGAAGAGTAAGCATCATGCTATGATCTCGATTTTGCTTCCCAATGCGAACGCCACGTATAGAAGACTAAATGTCATGTTATCTACGAAAACGTTCGGAAAAATCTTATAACTACTGTATGGCACACATACTCTTATGTCCCATGAAAGCTAGGAAGGCAATTCCGTGTGAAACACCGATGCTGTCAATGAAGCTTTCAGATTTCCAACCCCAGAGTGGTTACCGAACAGAGCACCATGAATTATTAAGTCATCTTATATCGAGTAACTCCTCTTAAATAAACCTTCGGCCGATCAGGATACTGA